CACCCCACTAACATACACCCTGTGAAACCTATGTTCCCTTTTCAGTTGGAAAAGAACCAACTGCTTCGCAGTTTGCTCTGTTACAAGGACCCACCACTGCCACCAAAGCCCTGCTGTTAAGTGGCCATCTGCCTGCACAGCAAGATGTTTACATAGCATCTTAAAAAAATATATTCCTCCCCTCCTCCAGAGATATGTACAGACACAAGTATCCTGCAGGCAGGGTCTCGTCTGGGGCCCTGAACAGGATCCCTTTGCATAACATCAGTCCAAAACAAGTGCCATAAAAACCTATTCTGTTTTAACTCTCTTTTTCCTTTAGTGATGGAGGTTGCTTAAAATTACTGCAAGAACTACTCTCGGTTACTCTTTGAGTTACACTGTGACTTTGATGGTACAAGAAAAATGCTGGGTGAGGGCTCATAAGACAAGAATTTTAAGATCAAGATTTCATCTAAATGTTTTGTGGGCCAAATTCAAATTTGGAATCACTCAGTCAAAGCTAACAGGCTGACACCAGGGATATGTTTGTCACAGTGAGCTTAATGAATATTGGCTAACTCATTACGTTCCTTTCTATCCTTGTGGATTTCTCTTTGAAATTAATAACTGAATACCTCAGAGCTCAATTATAGGGTAAAAGAGAGAAGAATAAAAATCACAGCTTTCCTGTAATCAGCCATGTTGGATAGCTCAATCAGAGCTACATTCCTAGTGTCACAAGTCTTTCTTTTTTCTTCCTTGGAATGCTACTCAGAAAAAACCTCATCCCATAAATTCTCGAGTACAGTAACAGAGACTGCAGATGAGTTTCTTTTACACAATCATCTGTAAATCGCTTGCAAAAGGTGAATCCCAGAAACCCGTTCACCTTTTTTCAGAGTGTAACTGCAAACACTCTCAGGTCATCAGAAACCAATCAGGACCCAAGTGCAAGGTCCTACACCTAGCAATCCCAGGCACAGCTACAGGTTGGGCAGAGAAGAGATTCAGAGCAGCCCTGTGGAGAAGGACTTGGGGGTGTTGGTTGATGAGAAAATGAACATGAGCCGGCTTCAGTGTGCGCTTGCAGCCCAGAAAGCCAACCGTATCCTGGGCTGCATCAAAAGAAGCGTGACCAGCAGGTCGAAGAAGGTGATCCTGCCCCTCTACTCTGCTCTTGTGAGACCTCACCTGGAGTATTGTGTGCAGTTCTGGTGTCGCCAACATAAAAAGGACATGGAACTGTTGGAACAAGTCCAGAGGAGGGCCACGAGGATGATCAGGGGACTGAAGCACCTCCCGTATGAAGACAGGCTGAGGAACTTGGGGCTGTTCAGCTTGGAGAAGAGAAGGCTGTGTGGAGACCTCATAGCAGCCTTCCAGTATCTGGAGGGGGCCTATAAGGATGCTGGGGAGGGACTCTTCATTAGGGACTGTAGTGATAGGACAAGGGGTAACGGGTTCAAACTTACACAGGGGAAGTTTAGATTGGATATAAGGAAGAAGTTCTTTACTGTAAGGGTGGTGAGGCACTGGAATGGGCTGCCGAAGGAAGTTGTGAATGCTCCATCCCTGGCAGTGTTCAAGGCTGGGTTGGACAGAGCCTTGGGTGATATGGTTTAGTGTGAGGTGTCCCTGCCCACGGCAGGGGGGTTGGAACCTGATGATCTTAAGGTCCTTTCCAACCCTAACTACTCTATGATTCTGTGAAAGGAAGGACAGGCAGAACTATACTTGGGCTCTGAGCTGTAGCCAAGTCATGAAAAAATCCAGTGTGTATTCTCCAAAGGAACACAGCCAGCAGTCAGACAGAAGGCTGGGAGAGCAGTCCTTAAAGTCTCTGCACTTTTACTGATTTCATCCTCAAGAGAAATCTGTAAAGATATTTCATTACAAAAGGTAGGAAGTGTTCTCTTTTCAGGTTTGTTCTCTTACATTCGCACCACATTTTTCCTTTTGCAATATTTTATGTTAATTCTTTACCTAATTTCAAATGAATAGAGTAAAAAAGTGAGGAAGTGGCAGAGCACAAGTTCAGTTGTGAAGTTTGGGTTTGCATTTCCAGTGGCTTTCAGTGAGGCTGTTTAAAAAGGATTTTTTTTTTGTTTGATGAGGACTTGCACTGAGGCTCTACAAAATGCTCTGGTGATGCCACCAAATTTTTCAAGCCTTCATCTGTTCAGGTGTTGGCTACTATTAGCTTCTTTATTCTTTCATTTTAAGGATGGTAGATAGATCCTGTGAGCCACATCATTTAGATTTATAGTCCACCATAACTTATAATAGGACACAGTGATTTGTAATTTCCCACTAAGCAGATGCAACTATGTTTTAATACTTGTCAAAACCTCTGCATGTTTCTATCATAGATGGCAAACTCTGCTGTTAGAATTGTTAAGTTTTGTGAATAAATACTTTCTGTTTTAGACATTACAGTGCTTGTAAAAGCAAAGAATTATGTCTCTTGGTAACTGCAAGCAAAATTAACCTGCTTTTCTGCAACTGTGTATGTATACTTGAAACAGACAGGGGACACTATTTGATGTTCTTGTAAGATGAGCCAGCCTTTGTTTTGGGTTGTAGAGAAAGGCCAGAAATTTTTCAAGGGTGGGATTCTAAGTCCAGCATGTACCTAAGGCTACTGAAAGTATTAAAGGACACAAATATCAGTAGTCAGAAGCCATTTATCATGCTAATCCTTCCAGCATCTCATGATACCAGCAGGCTCTTCCAATGGCTACTGAATTTTCCCCTTTAAACTTACCACTCCTTTTTTTTCCCAGCATCTGTTCATTCAGTTTAAACAATTTCCTGTTTTTCTAATAGGGGAGAACTGATTAGACACAGAACCTATTTGCTGAACTCTGGCCAAAATTGTGGATAGAGTGGTTATTTTTATTATTTCTAGCAGCACTTCTGGAGATCCCATCAATACTGAGGCTCCCTGATACAGCTTTGGTATGCGCAGGAAGAAAACTGAGGCTAGGTGGGAAGGAGATGTACGGAAGAAACATGAATACATGTCTGGAGCCAGCTGGCACCAGGCTGACTCTGCACCTGCTTTGAGATGATGGAACAAGAGCCAGCTCCAACCTGGAAGTAGTCACTGAGTGTTACATGAGATAACCTGCCCCACAGACAGGCACAGTGTGTTAGCGCAGATGCAGTGCTGTGCTGATGCAGCCTGGTGACTTCCAGGCATCAGTCGGCTGTGGTCCACCAGCCACAGCCTGGCACTGTGCCTGTCACACCATACCTGTGGTGCAGTTGAGCCCTGATGCTCATGCAGTTCTGCCAGAAGCAGAGTCCCCATGTCTCTTACCAGTTTGCATTCCCCTGCAGCACTGTCTCCAACCTCCTCAGCATTTCCTGCATCCCTTTCCACAGCCTACTCCTGTAATTTCCAGTTTTATTTCAATTGAGGAAAAGCTCTACAACCTAGCACACTGAAATGAAGTTTGAGTGGTGTCTCACAGCGTCCTTCAGAGAGGACACAGGTCCGACTGCAGGACCATGCACCCAGCAGACACGTCTCTGGCTTCCTGTGAGTCATGCCAGGTAGTGATTACTGTTACGCAGACTAGGCTGATTTTCAGTTTTACCCAACCCTTCTGTTTATTCACAGATTTAATTTGCATGCAAGCAACTGCAGTGCTTCTCAAAAGACAGCTGAGGACCAGGACAGGCTCCTGTGGCAGCAGAAGCAGGGCAGGGCTCTGGCATGCAGCAGGGAGGAGACACAGCAGTGGGTCTAAGAAGTGCATGATGAGTTTGGAGTTTGCACCACAGACAGAGCTGATGGCCAGCACTGCCTTCGCCTCCTCCCTCTTGCAAAACAGGGCAAAGGGAAGCACCGAACCGAATGAGGCCTGCTGAGAGGGTCAAATCCAAGAGCAAAAGCTGAGCTCTCCTCCCCAAGTTTTAAATCAGATGGCTCTCTAAGGCAAACTCTGATTGCAGACCCTGGCCCTACCACACTGCTCTGTCCTGGGGATGAGCCCCACTCCCAGCCTCCACAGTGGGAGTGCAGGCAAGGAGCAAGGATGGACTACAGCCCAGTTTCAGTGCTTTTTCTCAAAACAAAGAAAACCACCAAGCTTAACTTGCTCAAACAAGAATAGATTTAATTCTATTTCCCTTAATACAGAGGCAAAAATAATTTTAAAAGCCAGTTCATTTTGGGGGCTTGAAGTCGGGAGTGAGGTAACTGGAGCCTTTCCTCCCTAGACCTTACTTGCGTTGTGCATGGCCAAAAATGAGGGCACAACCAAAAGGAGACCTGCTCTGGATGCCCTGAACTGGCCTGGTTCTGGTCTATTAGTCTGAAGTGTCTCCTATGCCTGATTGTGTGGATGCTATATACGGGACACACACTGCTCAGAACAGAACATCAACTGAATAGGCTACAGACACCAAAGAGACAAACAATATTTCACCACTCGTTGGGGGTGAAGCCCACGCTCTCCGGATAATAGCAGGGATATGTTTTGTTGCTAGTTGTAAAGGAGTCTTTCCCCATTGTACTGTGCCATTACACACAATGTCTTCAGTTCACATGTCAATAGTGTACCAGTACTCACTGGTGCTTCTTTGCACTCCTTTGCAATAATAGACAGGCAACAGGGATATACTAAAAGACCATGCACTAGTGTGCATTGTGGCACTCGTAAAATAGCATATCCACAATTTGGGGTGTATACAACATGACTTTCCCTCCCTGTAGATTTTTAGGCTCTGAAAACAGTCCCTTTGTTGTTTAAAGGTCTTATTTTTATCCAGAATCTCCAGACAATAATGACCACCACACAGCAAAAGACGCACATGTACAAACATTAATTCATGGAAATGGAGTTAGGCTAGCACTGTGCCCATTCACAGAGATCCGGTAACAAAACTCACTAATGACTAAACAGCTTTTTACCCACACCGACTGCAAGAGCAGCCCAAGCAGCTTTGCACTTACATGATACAAAAGGGGAAATCCAAAACGGTTTTAAACCCTCCAGACTGGGTCCTACCTTTTCCTGATGGGAAGAAGCAATCCATCTCCACACTGCTGCGGGAATGGGAAATGCAGAGAGCACTGCTGGGGACCAGACCCTCCTGAGGCGGGCTCCTCTCCGTGGTCCGGACCAAACACCAGCCTGGCCGTTCGCTTGGCCTCTCCAGAAGCTCCACCGTCTGCCCCACCTGAATGCTGAGCTCACTGCTGTGGCCTGCGGTGAAGTCCTGAAGCACCACCGTTAGTTCACACCCTCCAGACAACTGCCCAGGTTCAACAGGGAAAAAAAAAGAACAGGAATAGAAGTTAGGGAGGGTAGGATGAAGGCAATCATCTTTGCATCATATTTACACTGGCAAAGACAGGATTTGTGTTCCTTAGAAGCCAAGTTAATCATTTCTTTTGTCAAAGTTCAACATGTTGTGGCACTGGTTTCCTTTACTTCTTATTGATTCTGCTGGGCTGAAGTGAGATATCAAAGCCACCCACCCAGTAACGTACTGAATGCTAGCTGCGGGTCAGTTTTCTAGCTGTGACTGCCCATCAGAAACCTTGCTTTTTTTTATTGCTTTAGTTTCTGGGGTGACTTCTTAGACTGGCAATAGCCCAGGCTGCCTCTATGCTGTCCCTCGTGGCAGGACAAATCCCAGCTCACCCCTCTACAGCATGAGTTAGACTCATTCCCCCATGCTACCACAGTAGTGAGGGAACAGCTACACTTTAGTTTTTTCTTTTGCAAGGCAAGAAACATGCTCTCATCTTCACAAACTTGCTTTAGGGACCTCTTGGGAGACTAGAGAATCCTGAAGGGGCAGATCAGAAAAGCTTCTCTCTGATGGAAAGCAGAGGTGTAAATACATAAACGCAGAGTGACTGATTACGTGCTGACTCTCAGGATTTGTATCTAAGAATAAATGTATCATCTTACTTCCGTACTGAGCGCTGGCAACCTGCTGCTTTTCTTCAGCCCACACCCTGCTCTGCCTCTTGATGAACAATTCTGGTCTCTGTTTAATATAGCCTCTATATAACCAGAGACTAGATATATAAGCACTTGGGCATATAGCAGAACAAAACAGAAGCAGTGATTGCATAAGCAGCAGAGGTAACAAAGCTTAGTTTTTCACAGGCTTTGGATCTCAGAGTTGGATTCTTGGGTGTCTAAAAAGATGTGAGCACAAATCTAAGTTTTTTCTGGTGTGTGGAATCTTTCTTAATGTTCCACTGCAATGTGGATTTTTGGTGTCTGCCTGTCACTAGGGACCCTCCTTTCAGTATTTCTCCTGTATGTGCTGCTTGCTTCCCTGAAGCATGCAGGAATCTTTGAGGTTCTTATTCCAGTGTCAAGTTTGATAGATGTTATTTTACTGATGCAAAAGTTATTAATATAAGAATAGTAAATAAGCTGCTTCAAAACAGTGTAATAGCATACATCTCATTTTCTTAGGATATGAGGCTAAACGCAAGCATATTATAAAATGTTTTTAAAGGAACAACTTGTAAATCCAACTGAATTGGGAAAACTTTTGTAAGATGCCGAGCATCTCTGTGGAAACTGGGATGAATTTATCAGCTTGAATGGGGGAAACCTTGAGGACAGCACTCTCATCTCTACAGACTTCACTCTTCGACTGGTACAATCACAAAATCCCTCATCTGAGCCCAAACAGCCCTGAATGCACACTCCTGTGGAAACAGCCTGCCTCCCCACTCAGTGGCATAGGGGTTTGTGTGTCCAGTGCAGGTGAAAGAAATTCCATTCACAGGGGTGACATTTACAATTACAGAAAGGGGTCAGTGGACAAGGACTGGTTCTCACCTGTCCTGTGTCTCTGCCGTAGACGAAATGCTAGATTTGGGGAAGAAGAAGGAAATATTTCTCTGAAAGATTATTTGTAAATAAATAGAAAACACAAACAAAACAAACCATGGCAGCTGTTCCAGGTCATTCAGACAAAGTGCTGGCATTAATCCTGGCAGAAAGAGCTCAGTGCATTGATGAAAGTGCACAAGAGATCAGTTTATCACCTACTATGCAGTTTATCAGCAAACCCACCATTCATCACACTGACATACTCTCCCCATAACTGGAATACAAGCATTCACATGTATGCTAAGAATAAGTTATTTCTATGATATTTGCTGAGGGTTTTTTGCTGTGGACTGATTTGAGGAGTAGAAAATCTTTCTGATCCAATATGGTATCTGATTTACTGTGGTATGAGATATTTAAGACACAGGAATAAAACTGATTGCTTCTTGGTAAATACACTGACAAATCTTACCAAATGTAATGAATTTCCCCTAATTCTTCTTCTAGTCCATGCTAGGTAATATTTCTATCCACCACATTATGCTATATATATTTTCTCTGAAAATAATTATCTCTTGTTCTTTTAGGAGAAAACGTGAACAAATACCCTCTGTACCTACTCTCCCAGAGGTGTATTTCAAGCACCTACGTGTCCTGCACTCCAGTACCACTAGGTGTCCGTGTTTGCCATCACACAGCAAGCTAATTTGCAATGCAGAATTAACTCTCTTGCCTTCGAAGTGCTTAACTAAGTGTGACGTGCGGTGTGTGGGCATGAAGAAGCTGGTTCAGACAGGATTCCAAGACCCACCACCTCCAATGATATAGGCAGAGGATGTTCGGGAACATAAAAAAAAAATAAAAGTCTTCAGATGGTTTGTGTTGATTTTTGAAAAATAACTGATTTTTATTGCGTAAGGAGGAAAGGTGAAAGAGCCCTGAAATATTCCAGGAAAAAAGGCCTAGTGAAGGCAGCTTTTCAATTTCAAACTAACAAGGCACTTCCCAGGGAGCATCAGCCTAGGAGCCCTGCTCCCTGCCTGCAATGTTGCCCTCCTCACTGTGGGCTGAGGCGCAGCTGACCTCAAATTGGTTCATCACAGACCTTTGTCAATCCCCTCTCAAATAACTCAACATCTGTGGTACAAACAGATGCTTCGATTGGGGCAACACCTATAAGCGTTATCCCAGAGGAAGCAGGTGTGCTCCGTGACCCTCAGGTACCATCTATCCCTGAGCTCATATTTTCTCCGATTCATTGAAAACAGTGATTTAATATAATGAGAACTGGAAGCAATCATCCCCTCTAGGAACTGCTTGGCACCCAGTGTGATCAAGCTCTTCCTCAGCAGGAGAGATGCGCACACACTTTAGAAGCCTAACTTTGATGTGTGAGGGAGGGAGATAACCTCCCTCAGCCTCCTAGAAGCCGCATGAATTTCTACCACCTGCTCCTCCAGCATTCTCGGGATGGAAACATGGATCGGGGCTTCCCCAGGCTCCAACTTGCTGTTTGGAGGCAGTGCTAAAATCATGCATTTTCAGGGAAAGAACCCCTCTTTGGCAGGAGGAATTAAGCAGGTTCCCTTTTACAGGTGCAGGTAGTAGGTGCAAGCTGATAGCTCAGGTGGGGGGCCACAGATCATTTTTAGGTGCCAGCCACAAAGAACAGAAAAGGAGTTCTTTCCTTTTGCCCAAGAACTTCCAAGTATTTGCCATGCCTCTTCTGTGTCTTACATATCACCACACCACAAAGAACATTTACTTAATAAATTAACCCACAGCAAAATAAACCCTCTAGAAAGGTATATAATACTAATACATATACAATTTGTAAGCCACTGAAGAATAATGCAAATACATCTGATTCCTGATGACAGAAATCCTTTCACCTATGAAGTGATCCCTCAAGCTATTAGTACTTCATTTCTTCTTAAAGAGTAATCCTCCAGTCACAGAGAAGTGCATTATGCTTCTCTCTACATTGGAGCATGCAAATTGGAACACAGATGGGCTGCTGATTTCTCACACATACTGCATTTGGTTTGGAAAGAGAAAGAAAATAGAGAATGCCCTTAAAGTTGAACTTCACAGGTAAATGGCTTCATGTTTTAACATGTAATGTTCACTTTTATTATTCCTGTGATAAAACCCACTGTTAAAGCCACTGACTGGATACACTTAAAACCCTTCTTGTGTATGGCACAAGAAGATCATGGAGAGACATAAAAATAAAAGTAACAATGCAACATGCCTCTGCAGAGCACAAGGCATAACTGAAAGACCTGACACAGGGACAAGTCTAATGAATTACACAGCAAACAACAGCCTTCAAATCAGGAACAAAAGGAAATAGAAGCAAATAGCAAAATGTAATGAGGAAGCAGGAAGGCCCCAAACAATCTGGGATGAATGTGCCATATGTCCTGAGAGAAGCTAGCAGGAGCTCCAGCCTGTCTCCACAGTGCCTGCCTTCAGCAAACCATCTCCCATCATCTGCGTTCACTTGTTCCTGGGCTAGAAAGCATCACTGTGCATTCAGTGTGTATGTGTTTTCATCAGGATGTTCTAAACATATCAAATCTGAGCTAGAACGGAGCCCTGCCCTATGCCACCAGTGCAGGCAGGGACCCAACGGTGCAGCCATTGAAAACCCCTCTCTAACACAGGACATTGCTCACAAACCTCTGAGCATTGATCAGAGCAGTTCATGTCAGTTATGCCATGGACTCTGGTGCATGAGTTTTGTCATGACTTACATGAGCCTTTTTGCTTCTGGGAACACTCAACCGAGTGCCTGTCAGCTGTGGGAAGGTGAAGTGCAAGCAGCCAAAATGATCCCAGGCATGGTCACATCCTGCTGCACGGGCACCCAGGCTGCTCCAAGTGCAGGAGCCAGCTCAGCTCCAGGAACCAGCAGATACTGGTTAGTGCAGGATTACGATGAGATGTTCTTTCCTATATCACAGTATGCGTGCATGGCCACTGCTGCGTTGGTTTAGTTTTCAGCCAGAAAGCAGCAGCCAGAGGAAGCAAGGCTGAACACCAGAGGCATATTGATCATTACAGTGCAGATGAAAAACACCTATCAGGTCGCAGGCTGGCCTTCCTTTCCTCTAAAATAGATCTTCAGTAGTACTAAATCTACTCTAGTTGAAAGGAAAGGGGGAATGAATAGTTCTCTAACAGGGTGAGCAGGGATTTGGGTGATGGGTGTCTGAAGAAAGACTCCTCTGCCACTTCTTAAATGGGTAACTAAATGGTATATACTGCAAATCACAATGGCTTTCACAGTGGTTCTAAATCATAAACCCAAGATCTGAGAGGCAAAGAACTGATAATAGTGATACTGTGGTGGTTGTGTCAGCATAAGTGAATAAATGCCAGCTGCCCTGGCAAATGTAGCAGGCATTTCAATTTTCTGTTTTTACAAGGATGCAAAATATCAGTGTGCTTGGTCTTCCCTCCTGTGGCACAGCACCATAATTAAGGTTTTAGTCCTTTCATAATTAAGGTCTTAAGCCTGCTTCCAATTTCCGCTTCATTCTATTTTTCAATCATAAAATCATGTTCAGAAGCAGAACCAGCAGTGCACAGCATCTGCAGATGTAGGTAGAAACCAATATATTTCAGAAAGGTAAGAAGTCGTTTATTCTGCAGTACAAATCTCAAGACAACGTATGATTTGCAGTCAAAGAATCAGCAATGGAAAATGAATCTATCAGGGTCAAAAGAACTTCTCAGTGTATTTAAGTATTCTGAAATACGCCATCACTGTTGTAGAAATCCACACTAGCTGCTTATTTACATATATTCATTAGGACACAGAGCTCTGCTAGTTTAAACAAAGCATTCTGTGTGGTGTGGCACTGTGTCCCTAATATAAATTGCTAGTTTTCTGTTGCTCTTAGGCTTTCTGCCCATCTGGTTTTGGACGACAGCCAGTTTTGGACAGAAGCATTTAGTCACCATAAACAGCCTATTTCAAGTGGGTGAGAGAGGCAGCAGGAGCGAGAATGGGATTTGCATTCTTATCAAGATATTCAACAAAGTGAATAAAACTGCTTAGATGTTGATTTTTGTCTGTGCTGAAGTAGATCCAGGAGCTGTCACTCTAGCTGGGGGACAGGCATGAGAAATCTCATCTCCTGCAGAGTTCTTTCTGAAAATTCCTGTAATTTCGTAGAGATTTTTTTTTTTTACTGGGAGTTTTGAGAGAGGTATCAAATTCAGAAGAAGCCTTTGAGGAATTTCAGTACTAGAGAATTGCTTTAGTCTTCTTACTTTGCAACAGGCTCTGTTTGGAGTGCAAACACTGAGTCACTCATGTTTTTCCCTCTAATGCCTCTGCAGCTCTAAAGGATGCTGAGCTGAGAGCTCTGGCAATTCTGGTGGATGCTTCATTGCATCTGTATGGAGGTGTTTGTATGGGGACAGACTATTTCAGGAGCTATAAGGTAAACCATTAATATCCTATTATGGTCAGCAGAATTACTCCAAACTGAGTTCAGAATCAGAAATTTGGTAAATACCTGACTCATCTCTGAGCCTTTTTTAGTCCTCAGATCCCTCTACCCATCTTCCATTAAGATGGAACTGGTGCTTCCCACTCTTTCTGTTTTGTCTGACAGACCAGAGGGGATCACTGCTTGAGCTTCACTGGAAGGTCTCTTTGTATTTAAGCAATTAGTCAGACACATGGCTAGGATAATGGTGACATGGTGTAGCCCAAATGTACCGTCTTTGCTCTTCTCAGCAAGGAGATAAGAGAGGCATCTGGAGGTGCAGCATTCTATAAATCAAGACACAGTAAGTTATTCCACAGCAGGAAGTAGAGGCAGAGATGGCACGTTGGACGTAGAAATATGCTAATGGAAAGGAAATCTGGTATTACGGTCTCAAATAGCACATACCTTTCCCATCCAGCATCTCTTGCTGGAGTCCCTGCTACACAACCACATCCCAACTCTGCTGGATTTTGGACTCTGGCATCTGCTGACATCTGCAGAACAGCTTGAACAGAGCTGTCTGAATAT